CGCCCATTCCCAGATCATTGGTCGGATTGACCGGTGAATTCCCAGATCATTGGTCGGATTGACCGCCCATTCCCAGATCATTGGTCGGATTGACCGGTGAATTCCCAGATCATTGGTCGGATTGACCGCCCATTCCCAGATCATTGGTCGGATTGACCGGTGAATTCCCAGATCATTGGTCGGATTGACCGCCCATTCCCAGATCATTGGTCGGATTGACCGGTGAATTCCCAGATCATTGGTCGGATTGACCGCCCATTCCCAGATCATTGGTCGGATTGACCGGTGAATTCCCAGATCATTGGTCGGATTGACCGCCCATTCCCAGATCATTGGTCGGATTGACCGGTGAATTCCCAGATCATTGGTCGGATTGACCGCCCATTCCCAGATCATTGGTCGGATTGACCGGTGAATTCCCAGATCATTGGTCGGATTGACCGCCCATTCCCAGATCATTGGTCGGATTGACCGGTGAATTCCCAGATCATTGGTCGGATTGACCGCCCATTCCCAGATCATTGGTCGGATTGACCGCCCATTCCCAGATCATTGGTCGGATTGACCGGTGAATTCCCAGATCATTGGTCGGATTGACCGCCCATTCCCAGATCATTGGTCGGATTGACCGGTGAATTCCCAGATCATTGGTCGGATTGACCGCCAATTCCCAGATCATTGGTCGGATTGACCGGTGAATTCCCAGATCATTGGTCCGGATTGACCGGTGAATTCCCTAAAGGTGGTTTGGGTTTAGGGTTTAGGGTTTTAGGGTTTTGGGTTGAAGGTTTAGGGTATAGGGTTTAGCACCTAAACTCATTCCAAGGTTTCTCTCTCTTCAAACCGCAAACCGCAGGGCAAGGCAGGCAGGGCAGGCAGGAGGGCAGAGCAGAGCAGGGCAGGGCAGGGGGGCCAGGAACCCAAAGCCGCACAAAATTTGCACAGGTGCCCCCTAGGACTGGGCCGGAGCCGCCTAGGTCCTTGGAACCTGCTCGCTGGAGGGTCCGGGGCCCCCCCAAGGGGGGGTCCCTTTTTGGAGGGGGCCCCCAGTTCGGCGCTCTCCAGGAACAGGAGCTTGGGGTTTAGGGTAATGACTTTATTAAGGGACCAGTACTGGTCCCGAGGAGAACGTGTTCCGGTACCGGGTCCGACGTGGGTGCTACGGTCCCCATGGCTGTGGGGAGGCGGGCAAGCGTCTTGGGACGTTCTGCGCCATCGATGTCGAGGGGCTTAAGCGCCGCCCACCCACGTAGGTGGGCGGCCTAGGCCTTGAGTTTAGGGTATTAGGGTTTTAGGGTGTAGGGTTGAGGGTTTAGGGTTTAGGTTAGAAGCTGCCCCCACCCTGTAATAGTGACTATAAGGATCATATAGGATTATATTAGGGCGCTATTATATTCCTATTATACCACTATTACAGGGTGGGGGCAGCTTCTAAGGTTTAGGGTTTAGGGTCCCTGGGGCTCTGTGTGGTGCAGGGTTTAGGGTTTCGTAAGGGGTGGTTTCGAGTTGAAGGGTTCTAGGGTTAGGGCTTGTTCAAAATACTCGGTGTTTAACCTCGTGTGCTTGAGGTTCCGAGCTTTTGCGTTTCTCTGGGTGTTCTAAGTGTTGCAACTCCTTGTCGATACGTATTGCAGGATTGAAAATTGAAGCTCAGTGCTTCAGACTTAAGGTGTTGAGGGACTTCAAGACGCCGGGCATAGGAAGGTAAGTAGGCCCCGGGTCGAAGATTCAAGAATTCAAGACAGTCAGCTTTAGTTCGACTGTGTATGGTTTAGAGTCTGGAGGCTTCGGATGTCATGGATGCGTTAAAGCTGGGGGTCAACGTTTAAGGGTTGCAGGGTTTCAAACTTCACGTTTAACGTTTGTGATTGACTGGTCTAGGGCCTCGCTGGCTTTTGAGGCTCGGCGTGGGGAAAAAACGCTCTGCTGCAAAATGAAGTTGAATGTTTGTGTTTCGTGGTTGGGGTCTCAAAGCTATTTGCAGGATCGAGGTTGAGGGCTTGACACAGAGGCCTTAATAACCCCTAACTAGTATTGATGATTATGTAAGCCCTTACACAAAGGCTTTCTTCTGAAGGTTTAAAGGGAACTCCAGAAAGTTGGAATATGGATTAATGGTAGGATCCCCTGTAGTAAAGGGGTTACGATAATGATATTCCAACTTTCTGGCTTCTACTGTAAGGGGCTCTAGCGATCTAGCATCGCATTGAGTTTAGGACTCTCGGCCCAGTCCCGAGAGCTCTAGCTTGAAGCCGTACTACCGGGGCCTTACCTTTAAGGGTCCCTTTAAAGGGATCTATAGGGCTTCCTTAAAGGGATCTATAGGGCTCCTTAAAGGGATCTATAGGGTTTCATGATCAGAATAGAGTTTTGGGGTCCCTTATTGTAGTTATAGTAGAACCTACCCTAAAGCCCTAGTCTTATCATTAAGGCCCCTATAGTTGTTCCAAGCCTCTTTGGAAGCCCTTAGACACGATGCGCTCCAAACCTACACGCTCTACAGTCTTCGGAGATGCTCAAGAGCCCGTGACTCTCAGCGCAAGCCCTAGGCCCTAAACGCTGCAGCCCTACCCTAAACCTAAACCATCCAGCCCTAATAAACCTAGAACTAAGCCCAACAGCCCTAAACCTAAAGCCAAACAAGCCTCAACCCTTGGCCTCTACCTGAAACCTGCAACTTCCACTTTGTGTCTTTTTCAAGCAACCAGGGTTTAAGGGCTCAGGGTTTAAAATCTAATTTAGGGCTTCGGGTTCAGGATTCCAGGCTCCAGGTTGAAAGTTTCAACTGACACGCCCCGAGTCCTGACCTTGCACTTTAAGATTTCAGAGTCAAGAGGTGTTGAGAGGATCAGGATACTTAGTAAGTAAGGTTGTAAGTCCCCGAATTGGGGTTATAAGTACTTATAAGTATAGTTATCATATTTATAACCCTAGTTACTAAGTCCCATGATCCTTTAAGTAAGGCTCGGCGACTTATAATCATGTAGCCTCGACCTCAAAACTCCGAACGTCTTACACCCTAAACCTGAAACCCGAAACCTCACATCAAACACCCGTAAGCCTATCCTAACCCCTCCACCCCAAGCTTTAGATCCTTAAACGCCGAACCTTAAGCGTTCAGCCTCATGTCCTGGACCCCACACCCAGATCGCTAAACTCTAAACCCTGAACAATAAAACCCTGAACCCTAAACCCTAAACCCCTAAACCCTAAAACCCTAAACCCTAAACCCCTAAACCCCTAAACCCCTAAACCCCTAAACCCCTGAACCCTAAAACCCTAACCCTAAACCCTATCCCGACCCCTGAGACCCTCAGCCCAAGACCCGAAGCCTTAGAACCGAACCTACTGCTCATTTACTACGTATACGGGGCAATACAGTCATTATAGGATCCTGATGAAATCCGGTTCTGCAGTGCGCGATTACGAGTGAAGCCATGAAAGGCATTGATTGCCCAAGTTGCGAAGAGCTATTGAGTATGACCTGAACGTCGCTGCCCTTTGTACATTATGGTAGGTTGACTGACAGGTCCGAACTGCAATTTGTATAGCATAACGACGGCTAATGTTGCCATGATCAAGCAGAAGCTACCACGTCTTGTGTGGAAAACAGCAGGCGATCCAATTCGAAGCCATGTTCCTCTGAACTTCCTTCCCGCCCGTCGAAGATCACAGGTGAACCCTCGGTGGTGTGGATCTGGGTGGAGCCCACGGTCCGATGCCAGATGGTGACGGAGCGACAAGGAATCGAACCATGGCGGAAGGCCGTGGTCTACTGAATGGTGTGGTACCTGGAGGCCCGTTTGAAGGTCACCAGAGGCCCCACGATCCGAGTGGACATGTGCCGACGGGTTCGCAGCAGTATGTGGAGGTGGCGCCAGAGCCTTCGCCATCGACGAGGCCCCCAGCTACCGCTGGACCTGGTTCAACTGCGATGAGCGCTGGAGGACTGGGGGAGTCTATGGCTGCAGGGCAGCCAGAAGCGGCGATCACCGGACCTGGCGCGAACACGGAAACCGGAACGGGCGCGACGGCGCGGAGGTTTCAGGGTGAAACGTTGGGGTTAAGGAGTAGGCCAAGTCAGCAACAGGCAGCAGCTCCGACACACCACGACATCAGCACTCCCCGACAGACAACGTCGCAGCCCCAGCCGCAGCAAGTGCCAGATCGACCGCTATTACCTCCCCAGCCGCAGCAGCAGCAGGTGCCAGATCGGCCGCTACTACCTCTTCAACCGCAGCCGCAACAAGTACCAGATCGCCCAACACCGCCTCAGCAGTCAATGCCTCAGCATCCATCTATGCCACCTAATGCTTTGCACGATCAGCCGTCCGTGGTCGAGAACCGCGGAGGCAGCTTCCAGGAGCAGGTGGCACCAGCTGTTTCTCAGTTGGCGGAGCAGAGGAATGCTTTGGTCTCGGCGTTGCAGGCGAGAGCGGCACGTATGGTCCAGGACGGCCCTGGCGAAAGTCCGGGAGGCATTTCAGTGGAGTCGGGTGAGATGGTGGACCATGATGGAGGCCAGATGGTTTGGTTCACACGACTTCGGGGGTTTGTTCAGCGTGGTTTGGAAAGGTTGAGACCGGTGCCGGCACCTTCTCCGAACTCGTGGTACTCACAGTCCCCGGCTTGGTCCATAGCTACTCCGAGTTTTCAGGTTCCTGATTCGACAAGGAACCAGCCTCTTTATGAACAACAACCTCGTTTGCTTCAAGGACCATATGAACCACAACCTCGGCTTCCCCAAGAACCACATGAACCACGACCCCGTCTTCTTCCAGGACCACAGGAACTACAACCTCGGCCCCAGCCAGGTCCTTCGAAGGAACACCAAGGCGATCAGTCGTCGACGGGATCGATTCAACCTGAGGTTGTGCAAGAAGAGGTGCGAAGGGCGGTGCAACAAGCTATGCAGCAAAGAGATCATCGTGTCAATGATTTGCAGGCGGAGAATGCGGAGCTTCGACAGCTCCTGGTGTCGATGATGGAAGTGAACACCGATGCAAGGGGAGTTCATGGAGGCACAGGACCTATGCCAGGCGAAGGGTCGGGGCTTCAACCAAGAGGCAGGGAAACCGATCCAGGCACGGGCTTCGGACCTCCTGAACGAGGTGAACCTCATCGGTTGTCGGACGCAGGTGCCGAACTTCCACGGGGTCCTCCATCTACCTCTACCAGCTCGAGAGCCCAGGGGTGATCTAGGTGGACGGCGAGGAGAGCAAGATCGGTGGATCAATGAGCCAGCTGGAAGGCGTCTGAGTGGTGGTGGCCAGAGTGATGCCACAGGAAAGCCCCAGGGCCCCCAGGAACAAGGCGCCAGTCTCGGCGCTCGGGCTGAGGGTCACCGACAAGATGATGGAAGGGTCCAGCCGGCCCCAATGGACCTTCTAGCGGAAGGAATCCAGCAGCTTCAACAGCTGCATCTACGACGAGACGGACATGATCCGGAACTTCTGAAGGGAAGCGTGGAGCTCCCCAAGCTCCCAGAGCCCTACCAGGACCAGAGCGCCATTGCGTTCCTTGAGTGGATCTACGAGGCGGGACAGGTCGTCGGCTCGATCACAGACCGGGCTGCGGGTTGGTGGAGCGTGAACGTGGAGTTAGCGATGGAGGCTTACCACCGCTTCCAGGCTGAGGTCCCTCTCAAGAAGCTCCAAGTGCAAGCCTCGGAAAGTTCTGAGGTGGATCCGGAAAGGTGGGCGAGATTAGAGCGGAGGGTGATGACTTTGTTACTGTCGGCCATGACTCCAACGATCAAGGCGGAGATCACGATGCTACGGATCAACCGTGTAAAGGATTGCCTCTTCAAGTTGTACACCATCTTCGCCCCAGGAGGAGCGAGTGAAAGGGCAAGTTTGATCCGGCAGCTCGAGCATATCAAGCCCGAGGGGAACGTCGTGGATTTGATCACCTCCCTTCGGAAATGGAAGAAGCTGACGGGACGGGCAGCCGAGATGGGCGTTTCTTTGCCAGACGGCTCGGTTCTCCTGATGGCTTTGGAGGGTGCGATCAAGAATGTGGCTGAAGGCAACAAGGATGTGGCATTCAAGTTGAATATGGCGAAGCAGGAGCTACGATTGCCCTACCAGCCTTCCTTGACTGCGGTTCTGACTTATGCGGACCATATCCTTGCGGAGCTTCAGCAGGTGATCCCCTTCAATGCCAAGGAACAGGGCGCCAAGTTGAAGGGCATGACCTCGGACCCCGCGTCTCCAACGTCATCGGCGTCCTCACCTACAGGAAAGGGCCAAGGGCAAAGGGCTCCTTGCAAGTTTTGGCTATCGCCAGAGGGATGCCGACGGGGAGCGGCCTGTAAGTTCAGCCATGTGTTTGCCACCAAGGAGGACAAGAAGGCGAGGTGCTGGACTTGTGGTTCTACAACACACCGGCAAGCTGAGTGCCCTACCAAGCAAGGGGGCAAGCGGTCGCAGAAGGGCGAGAACGAGAAGAACAAGCCAGGATTTCCTGCTTCGAGTCCCCAAGTGGCCACTCTGACAGCGCCCTTGCCTTCCACAGCGACTCCGGTGACACCGGCGACTACCGCGACCTCAACCTTGGAGCACCCGACGGCCCCACCAACGGAGAGATCACCTTTGACCACAACTACGACTACGGTGGATCCAATGGCTACTTCGAGTGGCTCCTCTTCTGCGGCATCGACGGTTCTGTTTTCTGAACAGGCTGCGGGGGAGGTTCGAGAACTAGCTGAGCAGTTCCTGTCGAAGATCAAGGGACTGGCTCCGATGCAGGCGCAGACGGACGGAGCTGTGATGAACTTGGAGCTCCTTCTTCGTTCCCAAGGGCTTGGCGAGAGTCACGGTATGGCCCTACTGGATAGTGGTGCTTCGCATGCTTATCGGGCCCCCCATTCAAAGGAAGAGGCATCCACGGCTCGCAAGGTCAGAGTGCAGCTGGCAGATGGCAAGACGATCTACCTCCGCCAGAACAAGGGAGGCACCCTTCTTGCGGAGGAGGAGCAAGGAGGAGGGACTATCCTGCCACTCGGAAGCCTCGTCAGCTCCCTTGGCTGTGAGCTCAAGTGGAGCAGAAAAAAGGGGCTCCAGGTGCGACACCCAGTCCACGGGATTCTGCCCACGAAGCTCGTGGGGGATACGCCTGTGCTACGTGAAGCTGAAGCACTTCAACTCATTGCGGATTTAGAACAAGTGGAACTGGGAAAGCTTGAGAAGCAAACGGAAGAGGGAGTGCTGAAGATGATCGCGTCGGAAGAGGAGACGGTCACCACGTGGATAGATTACGCTGAAGCATTTGTAGAGACCGGTGAACGGGCAAGCTTGAGGCGGATGTTGTTGGACCCCGAAGCTCCTCTACAAGCTCCTTTGGAAGAAGACATTGCAGCTCTTCTTGGCGTGGACGACAAGCTTCTCCTCTCTGACGAGGCAGGTGCTCACTACTTGAAGGCACTTCCCTGGAACCGGACTATGAGAAAGAGACTTCTCAGGACGAGGTGGATCGTCCACTTGTACAATGGAGACGAGCAGGGCGCCGAGTTTTCCCGCGCAGAGTCCGATGATGTCACTGTGGTTCGGATGGACATCCGGAACAACAAGGCCTTCGACCTCCGCACCTACACGCCGGCCGTGCGAGCCCTTATGTGGGCAGCGGCAAGGGGACAGATCGAAGGGATACTTGGAGGACCACCTCGTGGGTCAGAGTCGGGCTCAATGCTGTTCCGCAGGATGATGCTGCTTTGGTTGGTAGCACATACTGGTGCCACCAGGGAGTGCTTGTGCTCCCCCTTCTTCATGATGGAGGCACCAACTTGGCACCCGGTTTGGACCAGTTTCTCCTGGACCCGTTTCAAGGAAGAGTTTCGCTACCTCCGCTACCATGCCGTTGCCTCCAAGACCGGGGTATACTTCATGGCGGGAACGCTTCCGATTTCGGATGGTTTGACTGTGGAGGAAAGTGAGATCCCACGGCTCAATTACCCCTCGCCGGAATCGAGCTGGCCTGTTGAGCTGAAGACCGGCTTAGCGGAGGCTATGGTACAGTGGAGAAATGGAAGCCGGCGACAACGAGAAGCTATGATGTGCAAGCTCGCCGGACCCAAGGAGATGAACGCGCGAGACTTGGCCTACTGGGAGAAGCCAGTTGCCGATGGACATGTTCCTTATGATCGAAGGTGTCGGACTTGCGTCCGTGCCGCAGCAACTGGCCGTGCACACAGACGGTGCGTTGCTCCTTCGGCCTACACCCTGGGCATTGACATCGCGGGTCCCTTCAGGACAAGAGGAGAAACAGCAGGAGAAAAGGGCCTTAGGTACCTCCTCATTGGTGCTTATTGCCATCCCCGCTTGGAATCGGCAAAGGACGCAGACCTACCGGAGGAAGAGGAGGAGGAACAGATGCCGAGATCGACCCCTTCGAAGAGGACCGGAGAGACGCGGAGCAACCCGATGAGGAGGAGGATGAAGAGCAGAAGGCGATGAACGAACGCTTCAAGGCCCTCTACAAGGATATTGGTGACGACATTGACTACCAGACCCTCCCCTTTGTTGTTCCAATGAAGACTCGCACGGCGAAGGAAGTAAGGTCACGGATCCAGCAGATCTACCTACAGCTACGACAACAAGGGCTTCCGTTGGTGCGCATCCACAGCGACCGTGGGTTGGAGCTAATGGCCCAGGAGACAAGGGAGTGGATGGCGAGTCGGGACATCCTGGCGACGACTGGGGAGAGTCAACAACCCCAACAGAATGGCCGAGCAGAGGCGATGGTTAGAGTTTTCAAGAACCGTGTGAAGCTTCTGTTGAGGGCGGCTTCCCTGCCTATGTCCTGTTGGCCCCTTGCTGCAGAGTTCCACGCCAAGCGACAGCGAGACTTGGCTTTGGGTGATCGCTCCGATGCGGCGCTGCCGTTCGGGGCGCCAGTTCACGTGAAACACAAGAGGTTCGGGCAGGGTGGCCGGTACGACCTTGCTGAGCGATGGCGGTCTGGCACCTTCGTTGGATATTCAGGAGACGTCCGTGAAGGACGTGTGGTGCGGCATGACGATGGGAGCTACACGACGGCGGTGCACATCAAGCCGTACCTCATCGACTCCGACGACCTGGTGAACCATGGTCCCTTTGAAATGGAAGTTGAAGACCCGGTGCGCCGAGTCAGGGGCAAGACTTCGTTGGCCCAGCTCCTCTCAAATCCCACTACGGACGTTGATCGCAAGGCCAAGGAGCTTATGGAGGCGGAGCTCTATGGAATGGAGAACTTGGTGGAACTATGGGAGACTCTGAAGGTCCACGCGAAGAGTACTACACGATCGACACAGGGTGATGGACTTCAGTGGCTAGTGGGACAATACACCTACGGTGGCCAATGTGGCGTTACTTTGGATTCAGACAAGTTCCCAATAGCCACTGCATACATGGTCAAGGCCTTCCAAACCATCACAGGGACCAAGGACTTCACAGCCCTCCTTTTGACTGAAGATGTGGGAATGCAGATCCACCGCGACGTCCACAACTTTGTGGGAAGGAACAACATCCTACTACCTCTACTACCATGCGAGGATGGCGGTGGAGTGTGGGTGGAGTCGGAACCGGAGGACTACGATGTCACAGACGAATGGAGACAGCTTCCGAAGGGGGATTGGCGGAGGGGAAGAGTTCGAGACCTACAACCTGGGAGGCCAATTTCGTTCAACCCTCGGAAGTTCCACCAGACGGAGAAGTGGAAGGGGAAGAGGCTGGTCCTTACGGCCTACACCCCGCGGACATCGAAGATGAAGCAGCCCACCTACGACAAGTTGGTAGAATACGGGTTTCAACCACCACCTCTACCTCTACGAGTACCTGATCAACTACAACGGGTGGTGCTCAACATGATGAATGTCACCGGGAACTCCCCCGCTCCGGAAGCGATGATGTTCCAGATGAATGGGAGCCAGGAGGAGCGCAGTGAGAAGGCTCAAGAGCTCAGCCAGGAACTGCAACAACTTCAAGAAGATGTACTAGGGCGGCTACGTGAACGCCGGGAATGGTTGCAGGACTTCTTGGCTGAGGAGGAGATTCTAGCGGAGGAGTTCAATACAGTTGGCGAGGTGATCCGTGAGGAGATCAAGGGGATCAATGAGGTGGTAAGGGACCTTATCAAGGATGTCGATGACCAAGTGAAGGACGTGGAATCCCGGTGCCACAACCTCTACCTCAAGGTGGCCAACGTTATGGATGACAAGGAGATTGGGGATATCGAGGAGTACCTTGTCAACCTCAAGAAGGACCTGGACGTGACGCTGGACGTCCCGTTGGAGCAGGTGAAGGCGAACCTCAGTGATTGGATTGAGCCAATGGACAAGGAACTCGCCAATCTGGGCTCCAAGACGAACGCCATCGAGCCTCGAACCCTTACAGAAGCGAGGAGAATGGTGAATGACGGGTCCCTGATTCTCATTCCGGGCAAAGTCGTGTTTACCGTCAAGCCTCCGGCTCCGGAGACCAAAGCTGAGAAGAAGTCCGCCGGTGCAAGGTGGAAGCGCAAAGCCAGGATTGTGATCTGTGGCAACCTCGCCAATCAATCCTTGAGCGCCAATGAGCTGTACGCAGCTGGGGCCTCTGTTGAGGCGCTCCGCTTGGCACTCGCGATTGCGTCCGCTCTTGGATGGATCGCTGCCGCCACCGATGTTTCAGCGGCATTCCTTCAGGCGGAGTGGCCAGCGAACAGGCCAACGTACGGTGTGATCCCGCCCAAGATCCTGGTGCAGGCGAACCTCGTCCCGGAGAACGTTGTGTTCGTCGTGAGACGGGCACTCTACGGTTTGAGAGAAAGCCCGGCACTGTGGGCAACGCACCGCACCAAAGTGCTGAAGGAAATCCTGGTGCAGTGCGCCGAGGGCTGCCTGTGGTTAAAGCCTTTGATCACCGATGGGGAACTGTGGCTGATCCTCTTCAAGCCGAATGGGGCGGATCGTCCCCAACTGAAGGGGCTCCTGGTGACCTACGTGGACGACCTCCTTTACTTGGCGAAGAAGGCGATTATCCTGTTGTTGCATGGCAAGATTGCCTCTATCTGGCCCTGCTCAGAGTTGGAGTTTTCGGACAAGGGACTCAGATATCTGGGAATGGAGCTCGACCAGGACGGCGATAACTTCACTTTGGGCCAGGAAGCATACGTCACCAATCTGGTGAGGCTTCATGGCTTGGACCCACAAGCTACTGCAGGGTTGCCGTGCCCGAAGGAGTGGATCCAAGATGATGAGGCTGAGGGCGAAGTGGAGAACTTCAGTGCGGAGGAACTGACAAGGGCCCAGAAGGTCACCGGAGAATGCCTTTGGCTAGCCTACCGTACGAGGCCAGACATCCTATTTGTTACGAACTACATGGCTGCGATGACTGCCAAGAGGCCGGTGAAGGTCTATCAAGTGGGTCTGAAGGTGATTGCCTACCTCAATGCGACTGCGACGCTCAAGTTGAAGGTTGAAGCAGCAGCAGAGCCAACGCAGTCCACAGCAGAGCCAACGCAGTTCACAGCAGAGCCCACGCAGTTCACAGCAGAGCCCACGCAGTTCACAGCAGAGCCCACGCAGTTCACAGCAGAGCCCACGCAGTTCACAGCAGAGCAACACGAGGCAGGTTTCAGGGTGGAACTGTCGGGTTTTAGTGATGCGTCGTTCGCTCCGTATGGGGGCAAGAGCTTTGGCTGCAGTATGGTTATGGTAGGTCGGACTCCTGTTTCATGGAAGGCTGGCAGGCAGAGCATGGTTGCTATGTCAGTTTGTGAAGCAGAGCTGATGGAAGGATCTACGTGTGCCTTGCTGGTTGAATCCACTCAAGCGATGTTGAAGGAGATTTTACCGTGTGTGGAAACTCCGAGTCTGTTTATCGACAACATGGCGGCCCACAACATCCTGAATGGTTCTTCTGGAAGCTGGAGGACCAGACACCTACGTATCAGGCACTCTTACGTGCTAGACCAGGTGACGAACGGAAGCCTACGAGTGGTCCACCTCCCGGGAGAGGACCAGCCTGCGGACCTACCCACCAAGTTGCATAGCCGAGCACGACTCATGCACTTGTTGAGTGTGTGGAATATGGTTGGTCTGCCGGAGCTGAATGGGACGAAAGCAGTGAAGTTCATGAAGTTGGGATGCCTGTTCCTGCTTATGTTGGCGGTGCAATCGTTGGCTGTGTCAGCCCAGAAGGAACCTTTGCAGATGACTGGGTCGGGAGAGTTGCTGATGATGCTGCTCCTGACGTGTATTTCTGCTGTGGCTGTCTGGGAGGCGACGAAGTTGCTCTACCGTTACGCGGTGCATCAGGTGTTCGGCACCAAGCGATCAAGAAGGATCAACAAGTTGAGGGAGCTGGCAAAGGCAGCGGCGGAGGCAGAGATTGAGAAGTGGGTGGAGCAAGACGAGCCCCCATCCAGTGAGAGCGTGACACGCTCCCTGCGGCAAGTTCTTCGAGAAGAACGTGAGAGCCAGGCGCACACGCCCAGGCCCTCACCTAGGCCTCTGGCCCCTATGAACATCGAGGACACTCGTGAGAGTGTTTTTGGAGGCCAGCGACCAAGGACTCCACCCTTGCCCCGACCGACGACTCCACCGCCTTCAAGACGCATGTCTACGCCGACGACCCCGGACTCCGTGGATGGTGCAGGGCAATTTGAGCGTGATCGGGTTTGTCGAGATGTTCTAGGCCTACTTACAGTGAAGAACCTCAAGTCGGGCCTTGAGAACGAAGGCTTACCTGTCTCAGGTCTCAAGGAGGACCTGATACGACGACTAGCCATGACCATGGGCGATGAAACACCTTCTTCGATGAGACCAACAACACGACAGTTGAAGTACATTTTGTACGTATGGCGACACCGTAGCCTTTCAGGCCGGACCGAGCTCTCATGGGCTACGCTTTCATCAAAGACGGCAACCTCGGAATGGTTGGCTCGATGGAAGGACGCTTGAGCACGCACCGCAGAGTGTATGGTGGTCTATGCCGCAGGCAAAGACCAAGGAGGAGTGATGAAATCCGGTTCTGCAGTGCGCGATTACGAGTGAAGCCATGAAAGGCATTGATTGCCCAAGTTGCGAAGAGCTATTGAGTATGACCTGAACGTCCCTGCACTTTGTACATTATGGTAGGTTGACTGACAGGTCCGAACTGCAATTTGTATAGCATAACGACGGCTAATGTTGCCATGATCAAGCAGAAGCTACCACGTCTTGTGTGGAAAACAGCAGGCGATCCAATTCGAAGCCATGTTCCTCTGAACTTCCTTCCCGCCCGTCGAAGATCACAGGTGAACCCTCTGGGTTGTGACAGTCAGGGTGCTGTAACACTATAAGGGAATCAGAATGAGGGTACCATAAGAAAGCACTCCAATACTTTTGTCCCACCTGCTAAAATCGCGGACGCCCAAATACACCAGACCACCTGCGCAACCCCAAACCCAAAATCATCAAACACTAAATCCCGAAACCATAAGCCGAAAGCCGAAACCCTACAAACCTCGCGAACAACAAAGCATAAGCTCAAAATCCGAGGAGCCCCAAACCTGTGAACCCTGTACAAAAGGAAAGAGGTATGTTAGCGACCTTATGAACACTACCGGAGAACTCAATACTCCAGGCGTTCCTCAGCCAGCTCTTCGCGCTCTTTCTCCAAGCCAACCTAATTAAAGCAGTTCGTGAATTTCTGCAGCAATTCCTGTTGAATGTCCAATTGTCTAAACGTTCCGTAAAAATGTTCTGGGCTCGTGAAGGTTATTCCCAGCTTCTTTTACGGTTTGGAGTTTCGGGTTTGGGGTTTTAGGGTTGGGCGTTAAGAGTTAGAACTAAAGTTGCGGGCTAAAGGTCTTAGAGTTCAAGATTCATGGATGTTGAATGAGATGTACACCATGGCACGAACTTTTCTTATTGCTGTCCTCGCATTTCTTGCCACTGCGAGTGTTGAGGCTAAAAAGCCCGGTTGCAGAAAGCTGCCTGCATGCAGCACGAAAAGTCTGAGGTATACACGCACCAATGTTCCTGACACGTGCATCCAAGCCCTATTGCAATCCTACCTCATTAACCGCTCTAACTATGCTTCTCTTGGTATGGTTCCCGTAGCAATGGTTGTTACAAGATGTCCGTCCTGCTTCGGGGGCCAACAATCGCTGACCCTGAAGCAGAACACTGACACTAAACTCTATGTCCTACAACCCGAAAACAAAGATTTCGTCAAAAGCAGCGTGAGAACTCTTTGACCAAGACTATTGCCTACTTGCTACCGAAGAGCTCGGGCATCAGCAGGGAACAAGAAGAGGGAGGAGGAGTCCAAGTTCAGGGGCTTGGGATGGATAAGAGGAAATTATACCAGGCTTCGGTTTTGGGTTTGCGGGAAAGGGTCATAAAGGTCGAAACCGATATCGAAACGTCACGAGCTTTGTCTAAGCCACCTGTGTGCCGTCCCGATTCCATGGTCAAGATCAAACTTACTTTTCGCAACTCATGAAGGCTTGAATTGCGCGGCTTGGAAGATGACTTCCTCGCCTTCGGCACAACAACCGCAGTTTTGGGGTAGTATAGCATATGGTTCGTCCACCTTAATGGCTCGTGGCATCAAATCAAATGGTAGGGTACGATTGAGGGCTCAGGGTTCGCGTCCAAACTTCACACCGAGCTTTTAGCCTTTCGCAGGCATGGGCCACTGTGCATAGAAACATTTGCTCGCGTCATATGGTTTTATGGAGCCCTGCTGCAGTTCGCGAAAGGCTTGCCTATCAGACTTGTCATTGCAGAGAAGACGGCAGAACACAGCAGCAGGTGGGGGTGTAGACCTTCGTGTTTTGTCAGGAGTCAGGCTGCTTGATCCCGTCTCGGCGGTTCGGTGCGGCATGTCTTCCTCTGGCCATACTGCAATGTTATTTGGCCGCAACGAGAAAGATGAGAAAGCAAGTCTGTTGCATGTGACAAGGGAACAGATCTGTACGAATTCCGTACTCACACAATGGACACTGAAGCCCCACGCCCTGAACAGCACCTGAAAACTTCGGCGCCCCTCTCTCACGATGCATTTCCAAACCAAATCCAGACCCCGGAATTCTGCCACTTCTCACTTAATCTGTGGTACTGTAGTGTGTGGGGAGTTCGGGATTCAGGGCCGCAGGTTTAGGATTCTATAAGAACTTCAAACGCGGAAGAGCCTGAGCCTAGAGCCTGGGCTCTAAACCTGGAGTCTTACAGGCCCTTTGACCCAGACCGAAGATGAGATCGCCGAACAAAAGCTGCCAATCCGAAACGCCAAGGAACAACAAGCACAAACCACAAGCCTAAGCATGCCGAAGCCAAGCCCATACAAGCCCCAGACCCGAATCCCGATGTCCTGAACCCAACGCCCCGGACTTTAAGCCCGACGCCTTGAAACAAAACCGAAAATCGGGAGGCCTCGGAAGGTGGGATGAAGGTAGGTGGGAATACTCCCAAATAAGAGTCCTTAGAAACGGGATCCTTAATCCTACCTACCTTCATCCCCCCTTTTGAAGCCTCCGATCTGAACCCGCAGCGCCGGACCCGACGCCCGAAGCCTGGAGCCGGCAGCCGTAAGCCATACGAAACAAAGAGCTGACGCCCTCAAAAAACCCCGTAACCCCCCACGAAATGAAACCTAAACCCAAACCCTAAAACCCTCAACCCTAAGCCCAATCCCCAAGCCCTACACCCTAAACCCCAAGCGCAAAGTCTTAAGCCCTGAACCCTAAGCAGACCCAAACAAAAGCCCTGATCCGCTGGGGGCTGCTGCCACGAGGGCTCGCCACTCCGCCTCCTCCGAAACGTCCTCGCAAATTGAGATGACGGTCTTCGAGCTGTCAAAAAAGCTTTTAGGGGTTTAGGGGCTCAGGGTTTAGGGTTAGGGGTTTTGGGGTTCAGGGTTTTAGGGTTCAAGGTTTAGGGTTCAGGGTTTTAGGGTTCAGGGTTTAGGGTTCAGGGTTCAGGGTTTAGGGCTTAGGGCTTACTAAGGTTCCTAAGTCGTTTGTTGTCTTGCAGGCCTTGGGCTCACTTTAAGTTTAGGGCTCAGGGGCTTTTTCTGATAAGAAGAAGGGATTAGGAGCCCCCTAAACCCTAAAACCCTAAAAACCCTAAAACCCTAAACCCAAAACCCTAAAACCCTGAACGCTAAACCCCAAGGCTCCATGTACCCCATGAGTAGGGCCTGTAAGGAACCCTATAGATCCCTTTAAGGAGCCCTCTTTAAGGAACCTTACTGACTAAGTCCCATGATCCTGCAAGCAGGGCCTCGGGGATCCATGGGGGTGGGCTCCAAAATCCAGGGCCCCCCGGAGCGAGGGACGGCAGCTTCTATGCGAAACGGTGTTGAGGGTTTAGGGTGTAGGGTTCAGGGCTTAGGGTTTAGGGTGTAGGGTTCAGGGTTTAGGGTTTTAGGGTTTAGGGTTCAGGGTTTAGGGTTTTAGGGTTTAGGGTTCAGGGTTTGGGGGTATTTGAGGGTTTGGGGGTTTGAGGGTTTAGGGTTTAGGGTTCAGGGTGTAGGGTTTAGGGTTTAGGACCCCTGGATGTAGTTGCCTCGAACGACTTGCCGCAACCCCTCCTAAAACCCGAAACCCTAAACTCGCGGACCCCCTGAACCCTCAGCCCTCTTCTGACCTTTGGTTAGCAGGGAAGGGAGGAATGGGGTACCGCTATAACTACTCTCACTACCAGTCTTCCATTCCCTACTAAGCAAAGGTAAGTTATAGGCCCCTATATTATAGTACCCTTATGGACCCTTATAGTAACCCTTATAGACCCCTTAATAAGGCCCCTTCCATTCCCTACTAACCAAAGGTAAGTCTTGCTCCACGCCCTGTGCTTTCAACCAGACTTCGTAGGCAGCATGGCTCTAATCTAAACGTTAGGAATAACTGTCAGCTGGCACCACCTCACACGCTAGCTGCCTCTCAACCAATTTTGCTATGGATGGTCAAAGACATAGAGCAAGCAAAAGAGCAAACTACGTTGTTTCCAAACACTAAACGCTAAACCCTGAACTTGAACCCTGAACCTCTAAAGCGTGAAACCCTAAACCTTACCAAAAACTGTTCAAAAACTCGCTCCGGCTGGGCTGGAAGCTGTAGTCTGGCGAGGCGGTTCCGCACGGTATCCACACCTGGGTACTTGAAACCCTTTTCAAAAGGGAGCCTGTAGGGAGGTTTGACGTTCAAGCTTTAAGGCTTGGACTTAGGGCTTAGGGTCAAGGGTTTGGAACGAGTTCGTAAGGTTGGAGGACCAGTGTACGGTCGTAATCCTTGTCCTGTTGGGGGGGTTGCGCTTTGGTTTTTGCGGGTTTTGATGTTTCGTCGAGATCAAATTGTGTCTTAACTTTTTTTGGCACTGCTCTTACAGCATATGGATTGTATTGAAGTCTCGACAGGGCCCATCTGTGGGCTTCGGGTTTAGGGCTTCAAGGTTTTGCGGGCCTTTGGAACTAAAGCTAGGGCGTCTACTTAAAGGATCATGGGATTTAGTAACTAGGGTTATATTTAAGCTAACTATACTTATAACCCCAGTTAAAGTACTCACAACCTTACTTACTAAGTCCCATGATCCTCCAAGTAGACCCTAAACCCTAAACTATACCCTATAGATCCCATTAAGGAACCCTTATAGATCCCTTTAAGGACCTCTTTAAGGAACCCTAGCAAGGTACCCTGATAAGGGTTATGGTACCTGTAAGGAACCCAGGACCCCTTTAAGGAACCCTAGCAAGTCTACGTCTTAGAGCTTAGGGTTCAAGGCTTAGGAGCCCGGCGCTGCACAGACAAACTCAGGAGCCCAGCACCGCAGCAACTGCTGAGCTTAGGGTTTAGGGTTTAGGATTTAGGGTTTTTTTTTTTAGGGTTTAGGGTTTAGGGTTTTTTTTTTGGGTTTAGGGTTTAGGGATTAGGGTTTAGGGTTTAGGGTTTGGGTTTGGGATTTAAGGT